AAAGGAAGAGCCAAGTGACAACTGTTTGGACCCAGCTACAAGTGGGACAGACTTCTTTCTTACAGCAGTATCAGCCCCAGTGCAGTTACTCCTGGAGCTTGATTGTTTAATCTCAGATATGAAGTTAATTTTGAAAACACTGAACCACAGAGAAAATGCATGGTAAAGATGACTCTTAGCCTGTGTCTCAGGATTGTATTTCTTCAATATTGCCATTAGTGAATTTGGAATCATTAAGCTGTATTGTTTCTGGAAAGTTTTGATAGCAGAGCTTGTTATCTGTGGTCCTGAGGCACTTGACAGAAGCAAGCTCAAAATAAAGAGCTGAACCTGTATGCAGGTTTCAGAAGGTTGCTGTTTTTGCTGTAAATATTCGGAATATTTACTCAAGCAGTTTATCATTTTTCTGCCTCATTCCCACAATTTCTTTTCTTATTTCGGATGTATCTTCCAGCAAGAACAGCCCAACTGCTATCTTCCACCTCATCAGCAAGTCTTCTCTGGTGAGCAGAGCAACTCACCAGAGCAAAAGCCTTGCCCACATTGGAGACACAGTCTCTTCTGCCCGCACACTGAGCTAACTCTTCTTCTGCACCACAAAATCCCACAAATATCATTTTTGCTACAAGATTTTATTATCTCAGGATACATTTTCAACCTTATCTGCTAATCCACAGCTCTAGCCACAATGATACCAGGCCCAATAAGGAAAATTGCCTTACTCATATAGCCATTTAAATGTACCTTATAACTCAACCCCTGAATCCCATCACTCACTTGATTAAAGCATTGCTTTATCCCTGCTTCCTCTCGAAGATTTCTAGGAATAAATCTAGAAATCCGTGAGCCTAAATTGTCTCAAATTGCTTAAGTCATAACTGCATTACTTCAACCTGACTACTTTAAAGTTTGTTATGTAACAGCAGCTCCGAAGTAGACCATACAAAGAAAGCTTTCAAGTATTTCCTCAATTAAGCAATTTTCATATCTTTGTTCTTTCAGCTACCTTCCACCTCTGCATTTCCCAAACAGTTATTATGAGAAACACTGGAGTAGCAGCACGAGGAGAGGAGGAGTTTTTCAAATGAAGTTAAGAGGTTCCCTCCTTGACATTGATGGCAGTACAAACAACCCAGTGTTGACCAGGCCTGAATAGGTTGGCATGTCTCCAAATGGAATTGGTTTTGTGCAAGAATTTTTTCCAAGTAGCTTTTTTCCAAGCATTTCATCTAGTATATGGACAGAACACCCTTCTCTAGCACGACATGTGCCAGTCACCGAGGATATACTGGAACTTTAGTAATACCAAAGGTCCAATTTTTTCACATCCTCCTTTCTAAATTAATTATGGAGATGCAAATGAACATGTAAATATTGCACTGAGACTTTTCATTTCCTTTCTCACTTTTGGCTTTGCAAATTCTTATTTCCTCTTCTTGCATTAGTCATTACTCAATCAACAGGGTAAAACAGCGCACACGCATCGCTATTGAATCACTCACTCTTACTAGTTTTCCCACAATTGAAGAAACACTATCACCAACATGTCAAACAAATCTGCTTCAAGGAAATTACACATTTGCTTGATAGATAAGATGGATAGATAAGATAGGCTTTCATAAAGCAGATTTAATAGATAAGAACATCCTAATTAAAAAAAAAAGATAAGGATTTAATGTCAATTAGGCTCAAATGAAAGCTTTTAGAATAGAACAACTGACAGATCTCAAAACAACTGGGATACAAAAATAATAAAGTAGTATCAAGAGGTGACTTTATTAGAATAAAAAAGTATGTTCTGGGGCAAAACATATCTTTAATCTACCTAGGAAGGTGATAATATAAAGCAATCGCTGGAAGCTACAGTTGGAGACTACAAGATCAAGAGGTGCACAGACACTTTTTGTTATTATTTTGATATTGAAGATGGTTCATTATTGGAGCAAACTACCTAAAGAAATGGTGCCTTTTTCATCTTTTCATATGCCTCTTTCATATCAAGACTGAATATTAAACATGCAGGTTAGGACAAGAGTATTATAGCATCTGATCTAGAGATCACATAGAAGAAATACTGATCCCTTATGACTGAATTATGAGAGTCTGCGACAGCTGACCAACATCTAAGCTTTTTATTTTAACCTGTCTACAAGCAAACCAAAACCCACTATCATGCCATAAGTAGCAGGGTTAATGAACAAAGTTAATCACAAATGAAAGTATTTTTTCTATGAGGCTCTCAGGTTTATAATACAATATAAAGGAATATATTAAAATACAAGTAAAAATACAGTGTTATTGTTATATTATTTTGCAATGATGCAATTCCAAATGCTTTCTTTATGTCTTAAAAGTACAATATATGCATACATCTATGACTGATAAAGACATTATATTTAAAAGATTTAATAAGTTTAAATAGAGGAAATATCTTAAATATCATGTGCTGCCATTCAGAGGGGCCTAGACAGGCTGGAGAGTGGACAGAGAGGAACCTCATGAGGTTCAATAAGGACAAGTGCAGGGTCCTGCACCTGGGGAGGAATAACCCCAAGAATAACCTGCTGGAGAGAGCTCCATGGAGAGGGACCTGGGAGTCTTGGTTGACACCAAGTTAGCCATGAGTCAGCAGTGTGCCCTCGTGGCCAAGAAGGCCAATGGGATCCTGGCCTGCATCAGGAGGAGTGTTGCCAGCAGGTCAAGGGAGGGGATCCTGCCCCTCTACTCAACTCTGGTGAGGTCACACCTGGAATACTGTGTGCAGTTCTGGGCTCCCCAGGACAAGAGGGACGTGGAGCTTCTAGAGAGGGTCCAGTGGAGAGAGACAAAGATGATTAAGGGAATGGAACATCTCTCGTATGAGGAGAGACTGAGTGAGTTGGGCCTGTTTAGCCTGGGAAGAGAAGACAAGAGGAGACCTGATCAATATGACTAAGTATCTGAGGGGAGAGTGTAGAGAGAAATGGGCCAAGCTTGGTGGTAGTCAGTGACAGTACAAAGGGGGTTGGTACAAGTTGAAACACAGGTAGTTCCATCTCCATGTGAGGAGGAACTTCTTTACTGTGGGGGGACAGAGCCCTGGCACAGGCTGCCCAGGGAGGTTGTGGAGTCTCCTTCTCTGGAGATCTTCCAAACCCACCTGGATGCCGCCCTGTGCCACATGCTCTAGGTGTCCCTGCTGGAGCAGGGGGCTGGACTAAATGATCTCTACAGGTCCCTTTCAACCTTAATGATTCTGCAATTCTGTGAAAATTTTGAAAAAAAATAAGAGAAATTCATAATTAAACTATCTTATTTTTCCTTAAACAGTTGCACTTGTTTCTCAAAAACCTTTGGCTAAACTCCATTTAGATAAAGCTTTGCAAACATATCAGAGTGCTTTTTATTCTTCAGATTTTCTACTACATATTTATTTTACTAATTAATTTACCCTCACAAAAGTACGCCTATCCAAGGCTCTAGGCAGACAAACAGTTGTAAACAAAATACCTCTCCCCCACACCCACTTCCTTAATCCATTTGAAATTGCTCGTGATATTTAAACAAACACAGCAACAGCATCCCCGTTCCCGCGTCGTTCCGTAGGAGTCATATTGAGCGAGCAGAGCTCGTTGGTTGTTGTGGCTGCTGTTGTATCACCAGCACAGGCCAGGACGAAGGGAAAGGATTTCCCAAATGGAGAGCACAAGGAGCGTTAACGTGTGTGACTACCTAGAGCTGGCGCCTGGCACCACAAACGCGTGAGGCCTGATGTTTCTTGAGAGCAGGATGCGAGGTGTGAATATGCGGGCACAGCATCCTGCAAACCCGTCACTAGCTCAGCGGCTACGTTACCCACTCCTGGTTAACGGAGCTGATTTTTGCCTTTCTCACAGGCGACAACCATCCCTGCAAACAAAACTACAGGTCAAAACCAGAAATGCTTAAAGACTCAAGGTTCCCAGGAACCTTACACAGACCCTCAGCTGCAGAGAGGTGCCAGGCTGCCATTCAACCGTGGTTAGCAAAGCACTAATCTGCTATGTTAGTAAATTATTTCTTTGGGCAGACTACTAAACCCCGTGTAAAACAGCACTAATCCACCTTCTTAGGGGCGCTCCGGCATTGCTGACAGTGGATCGAATTGTCAGGCTGCACGAAGCTCCTCAGACAGCCGCGGAGCTAAAGAAAGAAAGGAAAATGAGAAATGAGCTCCCCCACCGGCGCCTGTTTTTTTTTCTTTTCTTGTTTGCATGGGCCTGCTTTTTATTTCGAGACGATTTTAAGAGTTTAGCTGTTGAATTAATGGATGAAGACGCAGCACGTTAACACTATTCTTATTGCATTTTCTCTTGGAGGGAAAAAAAAAGCATCCTTCGGGTTTTGGCAAATACAGGCCTATCTCAATAAATTAAGAGAATGACTTGAGGCCCCAGAAAGCCTTCTTTTTTCCCCCCACTGCTCATAAGAAGCTGCAGGGGTTTTTCATCATAGACATCCACCCCGCTCTGTGTTCCCACCTCACCAAGGAGCACTTCGAGAAAAAAATACATATATAAAAGAAAAAAAGCCACCATGCAAACTCCAGGAAACAACTAAGAAGTGGGAAATGAGCAAACACAACCGGGAGCGTTTGACGGTGCCGCCAGCGGGGCGGCGCGGGCTGGTTCCTGCCTCGGACGCCCTTTCCGCGGCGGGGCAGGCGGGAGGGCGCGCGCTGCTCCGCGCTGCTCCGCGCTGCTCCGCGCGGCCGCCGCGGCGC